CACAAAAATATAAGCAAATAATCACTTACTACAACATTAAGCATTCAAGCTTCAACTACTATGATTAGCTTTAGAGGTTTGTTTTTAGCCTTCAATATCATCATCATTGAATATCACTACTTTCAACTCTGGTTCAATAAGAGAAAGATTTGTAATTGTGCAAAAAGAGAGGAGATGAAAATACCTTCACTATCAAAGAGAAATGAAAATGAGAATATTCGATGAATAGGTATTAAATGCAGACGTTGATTTGGTGTTATGGATATGAAATAAGAAATTTAGTTTAAATCTCGTCATATATAAGAAATTTTATTTTAAAAAAATTAGAAAATATTTAAGATACGCGTGTCGGACATGCGTGTCCAATTTTTTTTTTAATATTTTTTAATCGAACACGTTTTCGGCGTGTCTAACACGTGTCGGAGGAGTGTCGGACGAGTGTCGTATCGGACACGGTGTCGGACACTGCACGCCTCTTTGAGGAGAAGTGTCGGTGCATCATAGACCATCATTAAAACTTGAATCAAATGTCTAGTGGTTGTAATGGTATATAAGATAATTTGCAAAATCTATCATTTAAAATAATGTTTCTAATCTCTTCTCTCAATCTTCTTCGCCCAAGCACAACTTAACCACTATGTAGATGTAAACATAGCCTTTAAAGCCTGTCTAGCATCAAGCATGCTTTCTAAGGTCAAGTAAGCGGTGGCAAATCTTGTTGTTGCTGGCCCTAGAATTTCTTTATTTGAGAATTTTCTCATAAGAGTTAGAAACCAAGAGTGGTTGTAAATAAACTTGATTTTTTTTTGCTTTAGTAAGTGCATTCTTATGTTGAGATAGCTTCTCAAGTTTCTCAAGAATCAGAACTATGCAATGTGTAACACATGGAATCTAGTACAAATATTTTCTATTCTCCATAAGTTTGTTATCTGCAGTCTTGTAAGCACTTGCATTATCTGTCACAACTTGTACAGCCAAATATTCTCCAACCTCTTCAACAATGCTATTTAATAATTCAAATATGAACTCAGCATCTTTGATCTGGTTAGATGCTTCAACTGACATTAAAAACACAGTACCAAAAGAATTATTAATGAGGATGTTGAACAGACTTCTATGTTTGATATCAGACCACCTATCTAACATAATTATTACTCATGTTTGGACCCAAGTTCTCTTAATTTCTTCGATACTTTTACCAGTGCTTTCCAACTCCTTCAGAATCCATGTTCTCAAATCATACATGGTTGGAGGTTTAAACCCTCTCCCAAATGCTCCAACTGAATGAATCATATTGTAATATGCAGGTGATGTTGCAACATTAAATGAAATTGTATTTTCATTGAAGAATCTGCCTATATCCTTACACACTCTTTTCTATGCCTCCTTTGCATTTTCTAGGGTCATCTTCTGTATACTAGGAGGTCTATCATCTGATGTGTCCACCATATAATGATCCATAGACCCTCTAGCACCCCTAGATGAAATGAGCTTCATCGAAGAAGATGAATCCCTAATACTGCGCTCACTCAAGTAGTAAGAGCCAATATCAAATATGTCCTCAAATTGCTTCAATGCAAGATGTTTTGATGTGGTAGACTTATTCATGTATGAATTTATCTCCTCCCTTACAGTATCATGAACTTTGGAGTTTGGAGCATGGAGCAACATTTTTGTGAGATTTTGAAAGGTGATCATTCATCCTAGTCACACCACCTTTCACAACTTTATCATAGTAATTGCATTTTAGATAGATATACGTTTTATCACTTCCACCTACATCCACTTGAGTGTTATGTTTCCATGCTGGATTTTTTCTATAACCTGATGCAGATTTATCCTTACTTCTGACCATCCTTTATGAGAAGAATATATTAGTGCAATATATTAAACCCCTAAACATAATGTTTTACTTATTCTACATTAAGAAAATTTATATAAAGCATGTACTTATGAAGAAGCAGACTAACACTAATAACAAGGGCGCTGCCCCAGAACAAATTTTTATTGTAAAAGTAATTTGAAGTTTTGCTTATTTTTAAAGTTCGTAAGTCAATTGTATGGAAAGATACCGAGCGTGTACCTAGCGGTATCGAGCATGTACCGAGCAGTACCGAGCATGTACCTAGTGGTACCAAGCATTGTTGTATCGATTGGTACCGAGTAATACCGAGCATGTACCTAATAATACCGAGCAGACAGAACAATTGTGGAATCTTACTCCGCAAATATGGAGGTCCTTATGGCAGAATGGATCGATCTTGTATTTCATAATAAGGTGATAGATGGAACTACGAAGAAGATGAGCTTTCAACGGTCGGTCGAAGGAGACTCCAGCCCAACTCGCGGCAGATGAGAACTCCAAGCAATAGGCGAAGAGCAACTCACGGTGGAAGAAAGCCGACGCTAGTCGTATGGAAGGAGCTCAAGAAGAAGGGAAAATGTCGCTCAAAGAAGGGAGAATAAACCTAGTTTTTGTTCGAAAATGACCGAAGACACACGGGGGTGGGGGGCCGAACTGAATAGATATATATTATGTTAGGTTTTTTTATTTTAAGAAGCAGACGCCTCTAAAACATGAGGCGAGGCGTGAACTTGAGGTGTACGCCTCAATGCCAGCTCTCATTGCATAGGCTTTGAGGCTTAAAAGCTTAAAAGTTTAAAATTGCGCTGAAGCGCGCCTCTTATTACGCAATTTTAAACCATACCTGTGTGATTGGATTTTGGATAGGGGCTTACGGCTTTCATTTGAAAATAGCCCTAATGACAGGTCTTACAATCTCTATTAGAGGTAACCAAAATAATGGGTCTTACAACTTAGCCCTATAAACTAAGATGCCCAATGATTTTGATTCGTAAAGTTAACAAATCTATTGTTCACAATGGAGAGCCTAATATTGGGGCTTCCAAAATCAGCGCCAAGATGTTCCCATTAGCCAAGTGACAGGCTATTAATCCTAACCTAAACTGAAGTCATTAGAGGTACTATCTATCCGAACCAAAACCATTGGGCATCTTAGTCTATAGGACTAAGTTGTAATACCCACAATTTGGATCACCTCCAATATAGACCGTAAGACTCATCATTATGACTACTTTCAAATGAAATTCGTAAGGACAAGTAAAGTTGTAAGTCCTTACCCCAAATGAAATCATACGGGCAACTCCTAAATAGAGCCGTATGACCTAATTCAAATTTAAACTATGGGCAACTTCTAAATAGAGCCATAAGTTACCACCCAAACTATATATATATCCAGTTCAGTTTACTCAGGATCCTGAGAGAAGGCAATCCATGGCTGCTAATCAGATTCCCTGGACACTACGATCAATGATCGCTAGTATTGGTAGATTGAAAAATGCTATTTTTGGGATGACGGAACCATGTAATATTGATCTTGTCTACCTTCATCTAGGGCTGCAAACGAACCGAGCTGAGCCGGGTATGTGAGTGTTCATGTTTGTGTTCATTTAATATCAGGTTGTTCAAGTTTGGTTCATATTTATTCGAGCTTTATTGTTTGCGTTCATGTTTGGTTCATTTAAATTAATGAGTGTTCATGTTCGGTTTATGTTCAGTTCATGTTTGTTCGTTTAGTGCTTATCGAGCTTTAACCAAACAAACATAAATGAGCTATAAACGAGCTCTACTTTTAGATATTCATTAACTTAAACAAACGACTACATCGAGCATGTTTGCGAACATATTTAACGATTTTTTTTTAACTATGTTCATGAACATATCTATGAAAAAACACATTTATAATAAAAATACTTCTGCCTTCGTTAGCCCGCATGTTTCGGAAGAAAAATTAGGGCTCAAGTCTCGGGAAGATAAGAAAATGATGCAACTTGAGTATTTAAAATATTGTTCAAGTTTGTTTGTTTAGTTAGTTAAACGATCACAAACGAGCTTTAATCGAACCGAGCATTGAGTAGCTTGTCGAACGCTTGGTTCGCTTGCAGCCCTACCTTCATCCCCCACAACGTAGGTTTAGGACATTAACACACTATTGCACACACATCTATACTTCATGCACGGACTAAGTATAATTTCATCATTTATCTAGAGTATTCTTCTACATGTTAGAAGGGGTAATTAACTATGAGAGGTTGCGCTCATAGGAAGTAGAACTCATATCTAAATAAATCATAATACTATTCTCAGGAAAAATCTGGTCGAAAAAATAAGGACCTTAACTTGTGGGAGCGAGTTCCGTGCCTATTTTTCCTAAGCAAAACATGTACTCTCTCTCTCTCTCTCTCTCTCTCTCTCTCTCTCTCTCTCTCTCTCTCTCCATTCTCATATGTTTCTAAAACAAAACTCGTAGAGCTCGCTTATTAGTAAGGTCAGGTATCACCCACATACATATTTGAATACAATAATATAATTAATTGAATAAAAATTAGCATAGAATAATATCTCAATTAATTATTACTTAGCACTTTACTAAGTTCATTAAACAAACTTTTTTATTTAGGCTTCGTTTGGGACAGTTTTCTTATTGATTTTTAAAACGGCTTTTTAGCACAAAAACTTCTAATTCAAGAAATTTTTGTACTGGAAAGTTATTTTATAAAGCAACAAACAAATTGTCCTAAATGAAGCCTTAATCAAGTTAGAGTGACCTAAATTAAATTAATCATAACCATCATCTTTATCTCCCATCCCATTATCGTGACTACCCAAAACCTTCTTTCATCTTAATAATATTTTTCAATATAATTATTCTAATTAAACTATAATTATCATAATTACTATCTTGACTAATTATTAAATAGTAACTTATAAAGATAAATATAATAATACTTATTTAGTGAAACTGAATAACAAAGGATATTAATATGTATAAATTAATATCTTTTTAGCTCATTAATAATTATTATTTTAAATAATTTTTTTGGGGATATTTAAGTCAATTAAGGCATAATATATCTCATTCAATTAACATTAAATAATTTTATTAACTTTAAAGAATTATCAATTAAATACAAAAAACCTTGTCTTTAGCCGTCAGATTCGCGTCCCTCAAATTCCCATTGATGAAAAAGAAACGAGGGAGTCAGCACGGGAACAAACTGGTGTAGCATAGACGACACTAACAGTATGTGAAGGAGTGTGAAGGAGAAGAGTTCCTGAGAGACTGGCGGATTTAGGTTAAATCTGTCCAATGCCTAGCTTTGAAGTTGCCAATTTTGCTGTTTGTCAGGATATAGGTTACATACCGTTTTAATCCTGCTCAAATCCACCAAACAGCCCCTAAATCCAAAAAATCGTCCGTTTACACAATAATGAAAAACTATATGAAGTTAGATGCAAATTTCCGATGGCAAGTTAAAAGCAGCAGGTATTATTTACTACTAAGATCTTATTGACTCTAATGAATTCGAACAGCTCGTTAACTCGAGCCTATCATCGAAAAAACTAAGTAAATTTTGGTAAAAGAACTACAATAACAAACAGTGCGGAAAATAAGAACCTATCACCCAATAAAGCTACATTCATAATTCGTATTGGCAGCTTTGTGTTCAAGAGCGAAATCAAGCGATCACTTCTAATAAACCAACGAAACAAAAACTAGCGCAGACAATTAGGAAACAAATACAGTAAAAATCAAATCAATCTTGTATCATTGCCGAATTTATACACTACAGACCGAAAGAGCAACCCCAAATGTTTAAATATAAAAAGGCCAAACAACAATCAACAAAAAAATTCAAATTTTAGAAGCACTCGTCTTTCGGCATCTCGACAGCCAACGCTCAAGGAACCCAACAAAGCAAAAACTTGAAAGCTCAGCATAAGCATAATGAAGAAGCTAGCACAACAGCGAACTAGAGAAAACACTTGGGAGAAACAGAGAGCAGTAAAAAAGTTGCTAGAGAGAGAAATACGAGCCAAAGAGAGAGAAACCTGTAAAGCGAGTTCTTATTTATCACCGGCGCGAATTTCACCGCCGGACAGCCTTCACTCGCGCGAGATCTCGTCGCTTAGGGTTTTCCGGAGCATCCCCCTTCTTCTTCGTCTCGTTGTTAAAGGAAATTTTAATTAGATTTAGCCTTTAACTCAACAAAAAAATGAACAAAAATGGAACGCGATAAATTGCCGCAATGGAGCAGATGTTGAACACATGTAGAAGGATGTTCTAATGAACGGTGAAGATGAAGTTCTCTGTCCCCGATATGTACAATGGAAAGGGACTTTTTTAATTGATTGCCTACTATTTGCGGATAGTGAGTTCGCGATTAATAGACAATACCGAGTTGAGAGATGTTATATCGGACGAATGATTTGTATGAGTTAGCTGTTCAGATTGATTATAGACAACTTTGCCCTTCTTCGGAGGCATCAGACCGGGAGAAAAAGGTCAATTTCATGACTTATTCAGTTAAAGATTAAAGATTAAACGGATTGGATTAAGTGCCAAAATTGGTTAGTAGTTTGGATTTTATTGTCAAAATAAGTCAACAAATTAGATTGTAGTGTCAAGTGAGGTCAACGGATTGGATTCGAATCTAACCCAATATTATCTGACCCGAAAGATGAATCCAAACTTGAGCCGCTGCAACTCGAAACTAATTCCATAATCTTTTTAATTAAAAAATTATTTGTATTAACATATTAATCATAAATTTATCATTAATTAAAAAATAAGAAGATGATAGCAAAAAATAAAAGAATTTAAGAAAAAATATATCAAATGGGTTATTTTAAGGTCAAAATTGTGTTTGCCGGAGAACATGAATCTACTTCATTTATTAAATAGGTCAATCAAAATAATGATTTTTTGGTTCAAGCCTGAATCGAATTGACATTACAGTTCATTTATTGCACCCCTAATTCGGAGTGACAAGCATTGAATGTCAAGCTAAATCAATTTTCATCTCTTTCTACAAATATGATTGGTAAGTTTAACGGCATAGAAAATAAAAAATAGAATTTTATAATTGGTTTTTTTTTTGGAGAAAATCTTTATAAGGGTTTGCTTGATTGACTAAAATAGGAAGTAATGTATTCTGAAATACAATGTAAAATAAGTGCAGTATATTCTGACTACCTTGAGGCTATTTAGTTGTCTTCAAAGTAAATATAAGGAAATTTTTATTTGTTATGTATATATAGAGTAAAGTAAAACAGTGTATTCTGAATATTTTGGTATTATTTGGTATGGCATGCAATATTAAGTTTGGTATGCCATTTAAAAGCAATGGCAACAATACCCTTCAATATTTTAACATCGTATATTTATTATTTGAACAATGTGAAACTATCATATATTGAATCACATGAAAATATAAACTAACTACTTATTTTTATTGGTTCAATTATAAAGATGATTAATCATATCCATACATATCAAAGTTTGGTTTGTCCACTACGATCACAAAATTGTACTACACAAATCACTTAAGAGCTCTCTGGAAAGATCTTTAATTTGTCCTCTACGATCTGATCATGATTTGTTCTAATCGTACTGTATTACTATTCTTTTGGACAGTAGATTAGTTAAGAAATTGAACTGATTATCATGTTTAATATTCATCATATAGTACTACAAATGATATTTAAATTAGGCGTACCGCACGATCCATTGATTGTATTGTACGAACATTGACAGCTAAATTGAAAATTAGGATTTTTCTGAAGCCAATTATTTAAGCATCTCTTAAGTCATTTGAGAGAGTTTTCAGCAATCAAGGGATTGAGGCTTCTGTAAGCAAGAGTTTGAAGAGAGAGTTTTGGGCAAGGGAGGGAGAGGTGAAGTTATGAGAGGGAGAAGTGCCTTATGGGATCAAGGGAGTATGAGAAAAAGTCTACACATTATTGCTCCAATCAACATCCACCTTCTTCATCCATAAGTAAACTTATATTAAAGGAAACTCTGAGAAGAACCTATTCAAAGGATCCACTACTCTATCACACCAAGTTGATGAAAGGGATTTGACTGCTCCACTACATCAGGTTGGTCAAAGGGATTCTGCAACTCCGTCGCACCAGGTTGGTGAAAGAGATTCGGCTACTCCACTGCACTAGAGAATGTGAAAAGGATTTGACTACTATGGCATACCAGGAAATAGGTGAAGGGGATTTTTATAAGGGCTTATCTACCTTTTTGTGGGGGGAAATAAGAGACACTAAAGAGTTTTTAGTATAATACATGGAGAGGAGGACTCCGGAGAGTGGACGTAGGTTAAGTTGACCTAACCATTACAAAATTTTTGGTGTGCTCATTTCTTTTATCTTTATACTTTAATTTCTGCATTTTTATTTTCTTACACTTTTACTTTATTGCAAATATATGTTGAGCATTGATATTCTTGTGATATGAAAATATAGAGATTTCTTTGGATTTAGCTTCTATTAGGAAAAATTTTAAAAAAAAAACATAAAAAATTGTTTTTCTATAAAATCAAAAATAAAAAATTTGTAGTTATTTATTATTCACTTTTGTATTACAAATCTAATTTTGAATTGAAGTTATAAATTGGTTTAATTTCTAAAAAGGATTTTTGAAAAAAAAAATACCAATTCACCCTCCACCCCTAATATGTCTTTATAGTTCAACTGATTTAACTACCATAAATTGAACTTTCAATTGGATTAGAACAGGTTCTTTGAATATTGGTTTAAAAACCTAGAGAAAAGATCAAATGGCACACTTTGGAAATAGAAACACTATTGTGGATTATTCAATAACTCGTCCACAACTATTTGATAATATCCAATTTACTTTTTTGAAAATTTGTTTGTCTACATTTTTGTAATTGATTGATTTTAGAATGTTGCATATGATACAAGTTGATTATTATGTTCCTTCACAAAATGTTAATGGTATTAAATTAGAAATTTCATTTACTCAATGGAGCATGAATGATAGAGATTTAGCGCAATTAAATATCAAATGTTTAAATTGATTTTCTATGCACTTAAATTTGAAGATAATATGAGAGTTTCTACTTGCACTAGTGGTAAAAATATACAGGATAAACTATACATTACTTATGAAGGTACAAATGAGGTTAATAATCTTGATTAAATTTATTGCTGCATGAATACAAACTTTTTTACATGAAACCTAGCAAAATTATATCTAATATATATGCTAGATTCACTAAAATAGTGACATATTTGCATGCTTTAGAAAGAGAACTATATAACTCTATAAAAGTTAACAAGATACTACATTATTTGCTTGATAATTTTGATGCTAAAGCCACTACTATTATTGAATCTAAATATTTAAATATCTATTCAAGTGATAATTTATTGGACTCTCTCATTGCTTATGAGCAAAATGTGAGCCAATGATTGTTAGATGCAAGTGAAAAGAGAAAAGAAAATATCATGGCACTGAAGGCTGATTACATAGATAGAAATAACTCTGAAGCTAATGAAAGCAAAGATATAACCTTGATGACTCGAAAGTTCAAAAGCTTCCTAAATTGAAAATAAAAGTTTCATAATGAAAGGAATAAAGGTAAATTGGGTAAATTTAATATAGTTCTACTGGCGTTGTTTGCTTTGAGGGCATGAAGCCTAGACATCTAAGGTCTGACTACCCCAATCTTAAGAGCTACCCTACAAATGAAAAGGATGATGATAAGCCTAAAATAAAAAGGGGAGACAAAAAGTGCTCTAGGCGGACTTAGCTTCAAACTCCTCTAAAATACAACTAGAAGAGAAGATAATAAATTTGTGCTTAATGAAAAATTATTCAATTGTTAACTTCGATCAAAAAGATGTATGTGAGCTATCCTTTAATAAGATGTTTATAATTTTTTAGAAAATTCATGACTAATATAAGAAAATTAAGAAATAGCTTGCATGTTTTAGAAAAAGAATTTTCTGATTTAAAAAATGAGCATGACACGTTAGTTAAATAGCATATTAATCTTAAAATTGAACATGTTTCACTAGACAAAGAGTATGCACTATATGACTTTAATAATTTAAATAAAAAAGCATTGAACTAATAAAATCATATGATTCTTTGAAAACTATAAATATTGAATTAGAAGCAAAATTTAAGGAATTAGAAAAACTTGCAGTAAAAATGGATAGCAAAGAACATAAAACATTAGTTTAATTAGAAATTAAAAGGAGTGAAAATGAATATATATTGAAGAAAATAAGTGCACTTTAACAGAATACACATTGGCCTACACATTCACAAAAGCTACACCCTAAGACATAGCATATATCATATATTCTTGGGAAGAGGTATTATCCATCACATAGATTAGTGAACACATTTCTAGGGGTTAGGTGTTACTCTAATGGCATGTTAGGATACATTGCACGAACTTGCACTTTAAACTTTAAATTACACCTAGTTTTGAGGTCCAAAGCATTAGCATCACAACATAGTATGAATACATTTAAGCATAAGGCAGGACCAAAACCCACTTGGGTTTCCAAAACTAATATTTAATTTAAATATGTAGGTGTGCTCTGACAAGAGATCCAATGAGAGCAAATAATACCTAACTTGTGGATACAGCACCTAACTGGAAATCTAACCCAAAGAAGAAAGAATGGTGCCCCTTGTCAAGAGCGATCCAACAGCATAAGGACTTAGCCAATCATTCCCTCTATCATCTAACTGTTTGGGACACTTTCCCTTCATCAGGGCAACGACTCTAATTAATCTAGGCCTTTTAAGTAAAACCCTAAGGATAAAAATACTCAAAGGGGCTAAAACTCTTCATTCCAATTAATCTCAGCCACCAAAGCCTCCTAAAAGAGAAAGCTCATTTTGTTTTGACTCCCCAGCAACCTCTTTATTCCCCTAGCTCAAATCTACCGATCAAAGGCTGTTGATTATTAGATGACGACAAGAGCAACAACCAAGTCCATGCAACTCAAATAGTTGTCGATCCAAACATTTTTAATCGTGCATTTCTTCTATGAAGATATACATATACAGTCTACAAGCACAAGAATGTTTAAAACCAATGAATAAATCATATTAAAACTCAAACCCTAGATCTACACACCTAAGTTTAAATAACTTTTCAATAAGTTAATTTTAAGCCGAATAAACACATCCCTAT